TTTTTTTTTTTTTTTTTTTTTTTTCAGTACCAGGAATCAAACTCGGGACTTTGTGCTTGCCAGGCAGGCATGGCACCACTGAGCTACATCCCCGGGCCTTGAGTCTCTGTTCTTACCGGTGATGTGAGGTGATTGACAGGCTTTAGCTTGCAGGCTCTGACTCTGACTGCCTGGATCAGAGCAGTAACTACTCTGGGAGCGCTGTGAGTCACGGCAATGCTATGTCTAAAATCCGGACAATGCTGAGTCAGTCCAGCCACCCAGGAAGCCCCCACTTCCCACTTTATTTTGCTCATCCTCACAGCTCCTGGAAGATAAAGACTGCAGCTGAAAGCTGGGTGTGGTGGCACATGCACACCTGTAATCCCAGCACTCTGGGAGTCCGAGGCAGGAAGATGGTAAATTCAAACCCAGCCTGGGCAATTTAGCAATTTAGTGAGATTCTGTCTCAAAATAAAAAAATAAAACAGGGCCGGGGCTGTAGCTCAGTGAGTTCAGTCCCTGTCCCACACACACACACACACACACACACACACACACACACACAGGGCTCAGGATGAGGCAAGCCATTGCGACTCGAGGTGACCCAGGCACGGGAAGGTCCGCTGCCACCACCCCTCACCCAAGCAGCCTCTGTCCTCAGCTGCATCCCAGCCGAGGGCAGCCAGGCTGGGCCGGGAGCAGCTTCTGGCCACATCCTGCAAAGGGCCTCGGTGGTTTCTCTCTCCCGTGGCTCCCTCTGCTCTCACTGCTCTGAAGATCAGTCCAGGTCCACGGAGCTGAGTGGACTTCTGGCTCCTGCCCAGCCGCTGCCTTGTCCTCCATGCACAGCGTTCACGTTGTACCTCTCTGCTCCTGGGAGAGGACCCCACGTGCCTCCTCTACCTCCTTTTATTTTGAAGACAGCTTCTTGCTGCGTTGCCAAACCTGGCCTTGAACTCCTGGGGCTCAAGTGATCCTCCTGCCTCAGCCTCCTGTGTAATTCACAACAGTGTGCCTGAAATGGGCTGTGTTCTTTTAAATTTTTTTTTTTCCAGTGCTGGGGGTGAAACCCAGGGCCTCAGGCACGCCAGGTGGGAACTCTACCACTGAGCTGCACACGCATCCCAGATTTTTTTTTTTTTTTTCTTTAAAAAAAAAAAAAAAAAAAAACCAAAAAATTCATTTTGTTTGTTTGGTTTTGTTTTGTTTTGTTTTTGGTACCAGGGATTGAACTCGGGACCTTGTGCTTGCGAGGCAGGTGGCAGAACCACTGAGTTAAATCTCAGCCCCCACAAAAATGTTTTTGAGACAGGTTCTTGCTGTCTGAGTTGCCCAGGCTAGGCTCAGACTTGTAATCCTCCTGCCTCAGCCTCCTTGAGTGGTTGGGATACTAGGTATGCACACAACCCCCAGCTCAGATTTTTTTTTTTTTTTTGAGACAGGGTCTCACTATGTAGTTGAGACTGACCTGGAATTCACTTTGTAGCCCAGGCTGGTCTCAAACTCACAGCAATTCTCCTGCCTCAGCCTCCCAAGTGCCGGGATTGCAGGCGTGTGCCACCACGCCCGGCTCAACTCAGATTTTTTGTTTGTGCTTTTGGGATATAACAATCTTTTTTTTTTTAATGTTTGCAAGTACTGCTACATACACAGTGTGGGTCGTCTCAACCAGCTCTTTGGTCTTGGAACCAAAGTGACTTAGGCACCTGCCTGGCTGCCTCCCAGTGCCTGGATCTTTCCTCTTGGAGTCCTTGGCAGGATCCTGCTGGTCTCCTGAAGCCTCAGTTGGCTTGGCCAAGGTTCAGCACCTCCAGAATCCTGCCAGGTGGGGCCAGGGAGGGAAAGGGGCTCCAGGGCCAGGCACAGCCCACACTAGCTCCTCTGTGGGCTGCTCCCCGCCCCCATCGAGCCACTAACCTTGTCTGGCCGTCCAGCGGACAAGGTAAGGCTCAGGGTAGGAATAGCTCGACCAAGGTCACGCCCTTGGGAGCCAGCAGAGCCAGGACTGTCCTGTCACCTCACTGGTAAGGCACGCTTGTAATCCCAGCACTGGAGAGGCTGAGGCAGGAGGATCACGGTACATTCAAGGCCAGCCTGGACTACATAGCAAGACCTTGCCTCAAAAACCCAAAGTAAGCAAACAAACAACCCCTGAAAAGGAAAATACAGTGTTTCCAGGCCCCGACACACACCGGTTCCCAGCCAGGGCAACCTCAGATGGGTTGCCCACCAGCCTTCATAAGTGGGGATCCCAAGCCCTCTCAGTGCAGCAGCACCCCTACACCCGACTTCCCCCAGCCCGCTCCCACACAGCCCAGAGGGATGGCACGGTGGACACTGGGCTCCCTGCCTGCTGGGCTGGGGAAGGACAGGACGCTGGCTGAGGTGCCAGAAGCAGCGTCTTCTGCATGGTGGGTCGCGGGCTCTGGCTTGTGTCCGGGATGGCCCTCTGCAGAGACCCGGGTAGGGACTGAGGTGGCTCCCTGCCCGTCCCTCTCAGAGGCCTGGCTGTGGGCTCCCCAGGAGGAGGAGGAGCAGCACACTGACCCAGCCAGGCCTGCCCGCATTCCAGAACTGATGGGCTGGGCCCCTGAGTCACCGAGGAGCAGGCGAGATTACAGGGCCCCTGTCATTTGGCTGTTTCCTTTCCCGGAGGAGCGGGCGAGATTAGGTGACAGGTCGGGACTGGGCAGTGCCAACTCTTGGGGCCCTGATTGTACCCTGGAGACAGATTCCCCCAAAGCTGCCTTGTTGGCAGAAGGAAACTGGAGGGTCGGGTGGGACTGCTCCCCACTGAACCTGCCCCTCCTGGAGATGAAAGCTTTGCACTCTTGTTTTGGGGTTTTTTTTTTTTTTTTTTTGGTGATGTTTTTGTTTTGTTTTATTTTGGTTTTTTGAGACAAGGTCTCACTATGTTTCAGACTGACCTGGAACTCACTATGCAGTCCAGGCTGGTTTCAAACTCACAGCGATCCTCCTGCCTCAGCCTCCCCAGTGCTGGGATTACAGCCCTTCGCCACTATGCCTGGCATGTTTGTTGTTTTACACAAGTTCTTGCTATGTAGGCTGGGACTTGAATGCACAATGATCCTCCTGCCTCAGCCTCCATTATCTTATTAAATCTTCCTGACAAGCCAGGAGCCCAGGAACGCTTGCTGGCGGCCTTCCTGTGCTACACACAGATAAAGGCACTCTGAGCATTCTCTCCACATGCCACGCATTCCTGGGCCCTCCTGTGTCCCTAAAACAATGTTCCCACACTAACTGGAGCTCTCTCCAATATAGGCAACAAGTCCTGGCCCCTTCCTCTCCTGCTGGATCAATCAGCTGATATGTTAATCGATTAAGAGGCTTCCCTTCGCTCCTAGCCTTTCTCCTGCCCACTTTTCTTCCCCCCAGCTGGCAGGGGACATGCTTGACATCCCTGTCCCTTTTTTTGTTTTTGTCTTTCATTTTTAAATAAGAAAAAAATTTACATGATTTGGAAGTTTGAGGGCTGGGGATTTAGTTCAGTGGTGCTGCAGCCTGCCTCACAAGCGCAAGGTGCCAAATTCGATCCCTGGTCAGGGAAAAAAAAAAAAAAAACTTTAAAAAGGGTGTGGGCACATGCCTGTAATCCTAGCACCCTGAGAGGCTGAGGCAGGAGGATCCCTAATTCAAATTACTGACTGGGACTAAGGTGAAATGCTGTGTCCAAATTTAAAGGGGGAGGGGTGGCCCAGTCAGTGCAAAGGCCCTGGGTTCAATCCCCAGCACCAAAAAACATAACAACAACAACAACAAAATATTCTGCTCTTCCCCCTCCCTCCCATAACCCATAACCATTTTAACTAACGTTTTGTATGTATCTTCCTTTTCTATTTTTTGCAGAATCAGGGATCGAACTCAGGACCTTGCGCTTGCCAGGCAGGCGCATCATCACTGAACTAAATCCCTGGCCCCTTTTGTATCTTTCATACTAAAACAGAGCAATCCCTGGTAACCAAAAACAAACAAACACCCCCCCCAAAATACAAATAATACCACACTTACCGTGCCCAGCCTCCCACCCAGGACTCAGATGCTACGCCACATGGGTTGGGTCACTGCCTATCAGATCATTGGAGAGAGCTGGACTCCAGCAGGTGCGTTCCTGCTTAGATCAGTCATCATGGGGACAACTCATCATTTGTGTCACCAGCCGCTGCCCCCCAGACATCTAGGGGCTCCAGGATGGGGGCTCATGCTGTCTCCAACATCTCGAGAGCACAGGTATTTTCTCCAAATGCCAGCCTTTTTCTGTTCCTCGGTTCCTCTCTGTTCTGTCCCTTCTCACCACGACCTGGAAAACAAACCCCCAGCCCAAGCCCTGAGAGTCTGGCTCAGCTGGGCCCTGGAAGCTGAAGCTAGAAAAGGGACTTGTCAGAAATGTCAAGCACAAGCAGGAGACAGAAACCGAAAGATTAAGGGCCGGGGATTTAGCTCAGTGGTGCTGCCGCCTGCCTCGAAAGCTGTATGAGGTCCCGAGTTAGATCCCTGATACCAAAGAGTAAAATAAAATAAACTGAAAGATTAAAGTGACAGGAGACAAGCTTGCTTGGACTGTGGATAGGGGAAAACTAAAATGACATTTCAGGTGATAATGAGAAAGCTAAAAAGTATGGAGCGCATATAAGGGTGATTTGGCATATTGCGTTTATATTTTTTTTTCCTCATATTGGTGGTTGAATCCATGGCCTCTCCATCCTCAGCCCAGCCCCCGCCCCTTTTTTTAGACAAGTTCTTGCTAAATCACTAAGTTTTTTAGGTTGGGCTGGAAATCAAGGTCATCCTGCCTCAGCCTTCCGGAGTGCTGGGACCTGGCTAGGTCCCTGTAGAAGACCGGAGTTGTATTCCTGGAGTGCCACCTGGGCCCTAGGCGGGCTCTCCCCACATCTCATTTTAAAACATTACATTCATAGTAGAAATTTTTTTTGAGACAGGGTCTCACTATGGAGTTGAGACTGACCTGGAACTCACTACGTAGCCCAGGCTGGTCTCGAACTCACAGTGATCCTCCTGCCTCAGCCTCCCGAGTGCTGGGATTACAGGTGTGCACGACCACACCTGGCCACAGTGGAATTTTTGACATCCACAAAATACTAAGAGTGAGTCAGCCTGCGTCCTCTCTGGACCTCTCAGGGAGGAGAGCTTCCCCCTTTGTTGGCTGCTTGCTGTTTTATTGCTTCTCCTGGCTTTCTTTTTCTCTTATGAGCATTTCCTTGCGGCAGCTTTTTTTTTTTTTTTTTTTTTTTTTAAACTTGGTGTTGAACCCAGGGCCTTCATACTGAATTCCATCCCCAACCTTATTTATTTATCTATTCGTTTATTTGTTTGTTTTTGAGACCGGGTCTCGCTGTGTAGCTCAGGCTGGCCTCGAACTCAGAGCAATTTTCCTGTCTCAGCCTCCCGGAGGGCTGAGGACTACAAGCGCGCGGCCACCCCGACCGGCCAGGTCTTGAACCCCCCGC